CCTCCAGTGCAGCAGGAGTTCCTCCACCTGTTTCCACTGGGGTTTCCTGCGCTGTGATTGGTCCTGGGCGATCTTCACGTTGTCTCTCACGTGCATCAGATCCACCTCCTTCTGCGGCACCTGATCCTCCGAGTCCAGGTAACCTAGCAACCCTGTGGGCTGGACAGGGGAGGGAGAGATGTGTGGTGTGAAATGTTTATTCATCTAAAACACTATAATTGGTCATGTTAGATTGGGAAGTTCAACAACATCAATTTGGAAGCCATACACACGTTTACCTGCTACGATAATAAATGTTCGCTTTGTCTCTGGTTCCAGTTAAAAAGGCATGCTTCCCTCTCTCTATAAAACATCTACAGTATTTCTATTAACATAATACCTGATGAAAGGTATATCTGTTTCAATATAGGTTACATTTACTAATAGATACCACACAATTGAAGACCTGGCTCATTACAGAAATGAATGATGCTCTTGAAACAACAAACTGAGTGGAACAGATGATTTGAAGACTGGTTCTTATTTACCACAATCCTCTTGAGCAGCCCCATAGCTGTCGGAGCTCCTGTTACCCACAGTCCCACCAGGTGTCTACTCAGCTGCCTGCAACAGGACAACACACAGTTGTTCAACAGTTAACTCTTTTCATATATAATTCTAATAAATGAAAGGATTCACACATTCACACTGCAAGATGCTTAGCCTAAGCAAACTGCAATCTTAGCAAGTACATTCAATATTGTAAAACTGCTGTAGGTTTTTCACATTCTTCAAATCATATTGATTCTAACAAGCAATCCAACTGACTGTTGACAGAAGTTATAAAACAAGGCTTGCTTTCCTTGCCAGTCGTAACATGCAGAATCATTTTTAATAAATTAATGGATTCACACATTCACACAACAAGATGCTTAGAACAGCAATCTTAGCCAATACATGACATTGTATTGCAAAACTTGCTGTAGGTTTTTCACATTCCTCAAATCATACCGATTTTTTTCAAGCAATCCAGCTCACTGTTGACAGAAGTTATAAAACATACACCACATTTTCAGGGCTAACAACTTACAATTGTTGTCCTTGCCAGTCGTAAACATGCAGAATTAATAGTCTACATATTTTTTTTCTAACAATGATTCTAGTCATCATGACATGAACCAGGGTGACTTTTGCCAGGCAACTTTTACCATGCCTACTTGAGTGCCAACATCTTGTTGTCTTTGCTAGATGTAAACATGACTGTACAATAAATAGTCAACATTTTACTGTTGCCAGGCAACTGTTACTAGGCAACTGTTACCATGCCTACCTGAGAGCCAGCATCCTGTTGTCCTTGCTGACGGTAAACACGTACAATAAATAGTCACCATTTTTACTGTTGCCAGGCAACTGTTGCCAGGCAACTGTTGCCAGGCAACTGTTACCATGCCTACCTGAGCGCCAGCATCCTGTTGTCCTTGCTGGCCGTAAACATGGCGATGTGCAAGTGTTTCAGCAGCGCCCCCTCAGCCAGGGCCAGGTCCTGCATCTTGGCAGCAATCTCCTGGTCCCCCTCCTCAATAATGGCCTTCATCACCAGGCCCGCGCCTTTTACTATGGCCATGGAGGGGTGCTGTATGGAGTTTTACATATATACGCATTAATGTACAGACTTTACTCAGAATCTAAAGGTGCTGGGTTTGAATCCCTGGCAGGCCCCAGTGTTATGTCCTTGGGAAAAGCACTTTACACTGATTTCCTTACTCTAAAATGAGCCCCGACATTAACTAAAGATTAATTATCTCTGCTTATTAATTACAGGTGTACATACATTTGTAATAGACTTTTAAGGGAATATCTAAGAAATCCAAAAGAGAGGGAAATGCTGCCTTGACATGAAGAGCTTTTCTATAGCTAGTTTTCCAACGTGACTTGTTTAAAATGTTACATTATGAAAGCTACAAACACCACAGGGATTCTTAAACAAGGTCATAAAATCTATGTCAGATCAAGCCTGAGAGAGCCCTACCTCATAATCATCAGTTGGCTGTGATAAACACTATCAAATTAGCTTGACCCTGACCTGAAATAACTTGAATATGGACCTCCCCATGTCTGCGACCATCTGTAACAAACTGTCGAAGTACGTCCCGTCCGTCGTCTCGCTGTATGGAGCGCACAGGGCAAAGGTCAGGAAATCCAACATGGCGGAGATGACCAGCGCACCCGTGCCTCTTGGCTGGGGGCAAAAAGAACATATAGGTTCAAAGGGTAAAGGTCAGGAAACAAGCAATCATTTTCTATCAGTGACATCACACTTTTGCCTCAGAGATATCGATGAGTCATGATCAGTGATATCAGATATCAGTATGCTACGGGATAGGATTAGTTCAACTTACATTAAAAAAATTACCAGAAAATTGTCTTTGAAAATTTATTAAGATTTTACTACCCTGCTTTGGGTGCCTTTGAGCAAAAGGCCAATAACCATTGCCTGGGTGCATACCTATGAAGTCTTCCTTACCAATTTAGCTGCCATTGTGCTCCCTCCACTAGGCAGGAGAGGGAGACATTTTCATACAGTCTTGCATAAACTAGGAACTGGCCATAACAAAGAAAACCTGTCCCTTGTACTCACCACATGAGCAGCGAACACGTCCAGCAGACTCTGTAGGAACTTCTTGGAGGATAAGATGGAGGCTTTGTTCAGCTGCTCCTGTCTCAGGTCATAGTCATCATGCATGGGCTGGGAGGGGGGCAACATGTGTGGGAGAGATTACAACTTTACAAGAAGATGGAAAAGGCAATCAGACATAAAGCTGAGGCTGCACACTTTTCAGGCCCTTTTCACTCCCCCCCCCCAAAAAAAAACAAAGCAGCTTCATTCTCTATCACTTCAAAGTCATCATGCATGGGCTGGAAGGGGGGCAACATGTGTGAGGATGATTACAACAAGGCAAGGAAAAAAGCAAAAATATACATGCAGTTGGCCTATCTTGGGCACAAAACTGAGGCTGCACACTTTTTATGCCTAGCAAATCAACCCAAAAAGCAAAGCAGCTTGATAATTGATACTTAATTGAAATATCGATAAGTTGCAAATTAAAGTGACAGCAATGCTTGATTTTTTACCACTTCAATCTTGATAATGTACTAGAACAATGCCTAAAGTTATTGGCAAAGTTCAGGTGTGACAGTTGTTTCATGTTATGGTAATAAAACCAACTGCTGGCACATTGGGCAGGTACATAATTATGAACCTCAGGTGATATAAAATACACCCTGCTGTATTCTACAAACACATGTATATCTGATCATATCCCCACCTGCATGAGAGCCCCCATCATGTCGATGGCAGCATGGATGACTCCGGTGTCGTTCCTCTTCAGGGCCTTCACCACCTTCAGACCGACCTTCTCACGGAACCTGGCAACACAGGGATTGAACCCATTGTTAGATTATCTTTAAAACTAGAAAGGCCAATGTGCAAAATGTTTTTACCTTTACATACATGTGGTCTAGCCTAACAAACTACTGCTCTGTTTATTGTTACCCAGACACATTCATAGTGACCAGCCCCTCTGTCCTGCCATTGCTACATAATGTATGTAATACAACACCACAGGGTGTATGTTAAAGCACTGGTTACCATGGTGACAGACATCTGGTCAAGGTAATTGACCTTATGTACATGTGTTTGTTGAAGAAGAAGAAACTGAGCAAAAACAACATGCTTTCCTTCTGCAAAGGTAAACATGGAAAAATGGGTTCGGAGTACAGCATCTGAACTAGTACCTGGAGTAGCAGTATTGACTAGTTTTTTACTTTAAATGAAGACTGTATTTTTGCTTTAGATACTGACTTTGGCTAATGTACATAGCTTAGCCACAGAATTTGATTAAAACAATTACTTTGGTAAGGTAGTGAAGGCTTTAGTTACTGACTTGGGTAAGGTAGTAAAGGAGCTATTACTGGTAAGGTAGTGAAGGCTTTAGTTACTGACTTTGGTAAGGTAGTGAAGGCACAGAAGCCAGCTTTAGAGGCGACCAGACGGCGGAGGGCGTGGAACTGGCTCTCCAGGTCCTCAGCAGGCAGCGTGGTCTGGTCTCCTGTGGAAGGGAAGTACAGTCTCATAGTACAGTCATCTTTATCAATCAACAATAATATATAGTGATGGATACATGGATGCATTACCCAGTATTACGAGTCTAATACAAAGTACCTAATATTCTATTTGTAGTGAACTAGAACTATATACATATAATTCTAACATGTACTACTGTTACAGTAAGATTATGACAATCAAAATGCACAGGAGACATTGTGTACATGACATTAGTTTGTGCTCTGAGATTTTACATTCTCTTCTGCATAAAGCACTTCATATACATGTATATTGGTCTAGATATAAGGAAAAAGAGCCAGGAAATTCTAAAAAAATAGATATATCCTGGCAGTGTCACTAATCTTGATGTTAAAAAATGGCATGATCGCATTCAAGAAAATGGAGATTTATAATGAAGAGAGAATGACATCTCCATAGTGGCCTAAGCTTTGACTGATAGTCCTTTATTCTGCTGTAGACCCAACGTAACCCACCTTCCCTCTCTAGTAGCACTGTGATGGCAATGTGGATCAACTTCTCCTTGTTCTCTGCAAAGAAACCCTGTAAAACAATAAAACCTTCAGGTTAACTAAGAAAAAAACAATAGCATACAACTACATGATGTTTCACTGCTGTGTTTACAAAAAAATGTTGTCCTGAGTATCTCTTAGTGTGCAAGTTGTTTAATTATGATAGAATATACATCATTGTACAATGTAGCAACATGTGTTACAAAGTTCAGTTACTGGCACTCATCACTCCATCAGTCCTTATGGAAAGATGCCACAACAAAAGGCTCCTCCGATTGCTGTTACATTTTTGCTACAACTGAGGCTATCAAATTTCAGAACAGTGCATTCTAGACATTCCCAGGTTGACCAAAATGCAATGTCTTTAAACCAATCTGCCAACATTTACATTTTTCAAAAATGCTCATCAAGCAAAAAAAAGAGGAGTGGAAATGAAAATGTGAGTATTTGCCCAAGGTAGCCCCAAATAATATTTCACGTTGTTTATCCTTGATAGAAGCGTGCCCTCAGCCCAGGTGTTTGGTCCCTGGCAGAAGAAAAGGAACAGGAGACATAGAAAAAACACATTTCCCTCTTTTCAACCTGCAATATCTCAAAAGGAAATTTCTCTTCATAATTTTCATTAACATATTCACAAAAATGCAATTCTGCAAAATCGCGAAAACTCTTTCAACTTCATCAGCATTTCTTCCTAAAAAGTATTCTTTCTCTTTGCTGCTCTTTACATCATGAACTATTGCTGCACTTTCAGTTCATGCCACAGCTGCATATGGTTTCCATGGTTACAGTCTCCATGGCAACAAGCAACATGGCAATATCATGAGAATAGGATGTGAATGTCTGCTCCCTTAATAAGAAAACATCCAAAATATGTAACAGGTAAGTTGCAGAATGTACAGTGTGACTTTGTGAGACCTGCTGTTTCCTACTTACATCTGCAGTGACTGCATGCAGCAGCCCGCTGTAGGACACATTGTTGTTGAATCTGTACACAGCTTCTGAGAACTTGGCATCTGCAGAGAGGGAAAACAACAACGCTTTAAATAAAATAGACCAAAATTCAAGACACATTCAGTACTGTTGGGGCACAGAGATCCAAAGGTACATGCACGCTTTGGGTGAAAAATTATGCAAGAAATATCATAATCATAATTAAAATCCACTGCAAAATTCCAAGATACAGGTCTGAATCCAAATCTCTTTTTTCAAAATTTTCATAACTAACTGTCTTCTAATATAAGATTGACCTGCTGTTCCACATTAAGGAAGAAAAATCATCCGCTTACATGTACCGGTACTCTACAGTAGATTCTCATAACTTGTTGACAAAGCAATAAGGATTCCAATCATAATATAAAGTAAATAACCCAAGACTAGAATAAAAAGAACCTATAAACTCAGTCTGGTGAAGTTTAACGTTACGTCATTGCCACAGATATAATCAGTTTTAAGACATTAGTCCTTACTTGGTGGCTGCTGCAGGAACTTGAGATGTAAACTCTCCACCTCCTCATCCACAGGGGTGAACAGGGGTCCTAACCTCTGACCCCGGTCAGTCGGGGTCATCTTCACACACACGTCCCGATTACCTGACGCACGTACACCGTCCAGCATACTGGCTATCAACGTGTCTCTACAAGAAGGCAAGAAAATACAGCAGTCAAACATACACCGTCCAACATACTGGCTATCAACGTGTCTCTACAGGAAGACAAAATGTACAGCAATCAGCAACTTTTTTCGCTCAATTTTGACAGCAAGCAAGTCTGTAGAATGTACTATGCCTGTGCGAAACCAAGACTTTTTATGTGATTTCGTTGGATGTTTTGTCAACGTGGCATTAGAATTGTGCCCATTGCGATATCTCTTCCGACACAACATTTTTGAAATCTATAGACAGATGTCATCCTTTAACACAAGAATATGGTCTTAAACAGATATAGAAGTGCTGTGGACAACACATCTCACTCAGTCTTGTGCTGCAAGTATTTTTACCAATAAACCATTACATGTCCTTCCTTGGTAACTTTCCTAAAGTGTCTCACCTGTCGGTGGAGCTGTACTGGCGTTTGGCCCCCTTCACATACTCCACAGTAAAGACCTGCGGGTTCTCCTGGCTTCTCACTATTGCAAACACCTGTGGGAGACAAGAACATGTGTTCTATTGGTAACCTGATAGCAGGACACCATGTCAGTCACAGAAGTGCAGTGAAGGACATACATAGAAATCTACACAGGTCAAGACACAAGTTAGGTTATTCAATAACAGATTCCCATTCCCTGTCCATGCAACTTACAAAGTTAACTGTTTCTCAGATAAAGTTCTGGCCTACATGTAACAGTAAGACTAAGAGACTTGATTTTACAGACAACAGAATATACAAATGTAATTGGATAAAGGAGACTTACATCACATAACGGCCTGAGTGTGATGATGGTGTAAGAAGCCGGATCTCTCTCCACTATACATGTCTCTGTCAGGCAGAAGATTCTTTTCACTGGGTCCTGGGACAAACAAGATATGGTCAGTGAAAAAAGTGTTCTGAGGAAAGCTTAAAGAGTACATTTTTCCAAAATAATCTACGAGACCACCAAAACAGGGCCACAATTGTTGTCTTAAGGCAGAGACGGTCACCTCTATAGGGTGGTTTGACTGTAGTACTTAACTACAAAACTGTGAAAACAAACTCACGGTGTTTCGTTGTGAGTGTTTCTGATGGTCAGGAGTACAAAAGGTTTGACTAAATCATACATGTATGATCCTTTATGCCTGAAACTCATGGTGTGGCATTATGAATGTTTCTAATAGTCATTTGTACAGAATGGATTGACAATTAGTACACTGTAGCTCTAAATCATACCGTGTAGAACTGTTTAAGCCTGAAACTCACAGTGTGTTGTTGTGAGTGTTTCTGATGGTCAGGAGTACAGAATGGACTGTAGCTCTAAACCTTACATGTAGATATGTTTAACTTAAAGCCTGAAACTCACAGTGTGTCATTGTGAGTGTTAGTACAGAATGGACTGTAGCTCTAAGCCTTACATGTAGATATGTTAAACTTAAAGCCTGAAACTCACATTGTGTCGTTGTGAGTGTTTCTGCACCACGAACTCGGCCAGCGAGGTGATGTGTTCGTCTCCGCTGTACTTGCCGAGTCTGTGCGAGGTGAACTGGTCGTGGACGATCGGGTCTTTTCTCCGCTTTATCGTGAGTCCCACGTACGTTCCCGCGTGCTCCATCACTGCTTTGATGATCTCATCCTTCTTTTCTGACGCAAAAAGGTGCTGAAGGGTCGGGGGAAAAGCAACAACATCATGAGACTAAACAACAAATTGAAACAAATTGAGTTGTTATGAATTTCTTAAAGGCTTGGCAGGGAAAGCAACAACATCAGAAAAAATCAGGTATCTTCAATGCTTACATAATGCTGATAACAGACTAGCATGATATCATAATATCATAATGACAATGTGAATCAATTAGGAGGAAACTTACCAGTCTGCTGAATCCACCATAGATCAGACAGAACCCACCAGGGTAGTCAGACACCTGGTAACAACAACAACATTTCATGATCTGCTGGCAAGAGCTCTGTTTAAAACTCATCAACATACAAGATGCTCAGAGTCAAATAATTATCAAAAAAAGGTATCAACTTTCGTTATCTTCCTAATAAAAATTGCAATTTTCCCACTAAAATGTTGGATGTAAATATATGTCAAGTATACCTTGTACAATTGTTGAGCAATAAAGTTTATTAACACTTTCATTACATTAGCCCAGCTATATAAGAAAAGGACAATATGTTGAGCACCTCTGAGTCTGTGTAAATCTGTACCACAGTTACACTGCCCCTAACACTTACCTCTGCCACCCCCTCCATGTCCTTATAGTCATAAGAACACAGGACCTTGTTAGTAGCAGGGTCAACCTGGTTCAACGACCCTGCAGTCACCTGGGGATGGAACACAAGTTTCATATTTTGAAAATGAACTATTTTTGCAGCCATCATACAAATATGAAAATCAAATATTGCAACTCCACTGATTCTTCAGCCAGGACCACATTTATGTGTTTGCTGACATGGTCATTCATGTTTGATCTTCTCCCTGCTGCCTAACCCTAGCCTGGGTACCATCCGGATTTTCTCGAGCATTGCGTAGCGAAAATCCGGATGGTACCCAGGCTAGCCTAACCCTGTTAAGTACTAGTATTGGTAGCAAAACAGATACTTCAGTGTGCCCAAGCTAGGTTAAAAGCTTGTCAATCTTTCTATCCCATTTATTAGTAAATATCTGAAGCTCATAACAAGATTTTTATGGCAAGGGTGGTAGTCCTTTTCAGGCCAATGTAATATGATATAATTGTATTCTACATATACATGTTCATGTACCACATAGAGATTAAACACCCCCGCAAATAATGCACCCTTCCAGACTAATCTCACCTCTAGAAGAATCTGTACCCTGTTGTCACTCCAGTGGTGTTTGTAGGCATTAAACCTCTGTAGAAACATAAACAAATAAACATTAGCTTTAAAAACTATCAGTTCATTTGTCATCTACACTAACGATTATACAATTACACTTCGACTCCTCCCTTACTTCCAAATTGTTCATAATTTAACAAATCTGTATGAATGTTTCAGTTTAATATATTTGTATATAACCACTTACCTTTTCACTCTGTGCCTTTGAGTCTGCAAACTGCTTTCTAAATCTCTGTAACACAGAAGGAAAAATGTCACTGAGTTTTCTAACTTAAGACAATGTAATATAAGAGCATTGTGTGTTAACTTACCAGATGATCCAGCAATAGGAATGAAGAGTAAGTAAGTGAGTAAGCTGTTTACTAACAAGATATTGCTTAAGTGAAAGTTGTTTACTAACCAGTGCCTCTGTGATGAGGTCTGCCCTGTACTCTGTGGAGAATCGCATGCTGTCGTTCTTCTTGTTCTGTTTCTTCATGGTGATGATGAATTCACTCGCAGCCTTGGGACTGGGCAGGATACTGACAAAGTCTGAGTACGCCCACTGCAGGGGGGGGGGGGTGACAGTCAACATACATAATTTACAAACTGGACACTGAACACTACATCAATGAACGATAGACATCCAGGTAGAACATAATAATATAATACAAAATTGATCGAGCAACTGAATAAATTTTCTGAGGAGTCAGACATTTCAGAAAGCATCCACCTTTCTTCCAATCGTTCATCAGTGTCATTTTTATCACAGAACGATGGATGTCTGACATTCCTCGACAATCCAACAAAAAAGGCAAGCAATGCCTCGCTGAATGCATACACATGTGTACGTGTACATCCAAAAACTTGCTACAGAAAAAGCATGGCTTGATGCCCAGTGTACCAGTGTAGACAGGAAAGGAACCAAACATCACATGTCACATGTTCACCCTTTAGAAATAATAGAATGATCTGCCCTTTTTTCCACTTCAACAGATGGGCCTGGAAAGTGCTGAACATAAATTATTAAAAATTCATGGTGCTGGCAACTCTGTGTGCATGCAAACCACAGTGTATCAAAATCATATCATCCACTAGGGGAATGCCATCCAAAATCTCCCCTTTCTTCAGCAATACTTAAAAATAAATATAAATGTACTAAAATATAGAAATACCATTTGCAAAATCTTAAGTGATGCAAAAGTGTAGGCTATCCTGATATCAAATTTCACCTGATCAACATGTCACACTTGTTTGATATTACCTAACGAAACAACCAGAAAAACAAGTCACACACAAAAATGTTTACATTGTCATATGTCATTGAATGTCATATTTTCTATCAAAGAGAAACATCTAATATTCCGTGTTTGTTGTACCTGATTGGTGACCTCCAGAGTCTGTGGGTTGTACGTCGTGATGCCTTTTGTTCCCACAGAGAAGATTCTTTTGTACCTGAAGATAAAAAAAATCACAGACTCGTTACCACCAGAAAGGGTTGACTAGATCATGTTGGAAACAATTGCATGCAAATGCAGCTTACATGCATCAGCAAAGCATTTGAAATTAAGAAGCCTAGTTAAATTTCACACAAATTTTCTTTTAATGAACAATCTTTTCTATGCATGTATCACACAATAAAATTAGATCTACCAAAGAAAATTTGAAACCATTTACAATGGCCCTATCATGTTTTTAAATTCTCTGCCTCTATAAATTTAAACAGGTAACATGACACAGACAGACATGCATGTATACAGTACATGAGGGTGCCCCCCCCCCCTTCTTAAGACACTTACTTGCCCCTCCATGAGTGTTTAGTTGTGAAGTAGGAGGCCACATCCTTATTCTCTACAAGAACTGTCTTGTCTGCCATTCTGGAGAGACTGAAACACAAGGAAAAACATCATCAGACTCAGAAACATATCAGAACATTCATATAGATGAGTTTTGTTATGAAATGCTGATGTATACAGTATAGTCTAACAGAGTCAAATCAGAACTGATGCTTCAGTTCAGGAAATCTACAAACTTGTACAAGGGAAACCAGTGGAGAATGAAATATCTTCAAACATACAGGCAAAGTGACAAGGGAGCACACGAAATATTGAGTTGTACTATGTAGGTTGAACTTTGCCTTTGGTAGGAAGTGTCATAGTTCAGTAATAGTTGGGGCATGATGATGATTATGATTATAACAAAACAAAATTAAATTTTTGTTTTGACATTCAGATCTAGTATAAACATGCATTTATCCGTGAAAGCTGCGAAAATGTAAAAATGAGTAACTCATTGCTTAGACAGATCAGACACACTGACGAACATTAACAAATAGAGTATCGACAACAAATCCGGACGTCAACCTACTTAAGTAACGTTGAGCATAATTTATGATATCAGTGTTTTTAGAAAACAATACCTCTTCTTCAAATTTCTAGCTGTGTGTCAGTGTTGTTAGATGACTTGGGCTTCGAGAAGGTTTTACGCTTAAGGTTTATCTCGAAATGTCACCAACTCGTCCTGGTATGGTGTATTTCCGGGCCTTTTTTTCACTCAGGTACCATTTGTGTAGTCATCTGACCCCACCCCCTCACATGATCATGATACTACACCGCTACATTCTAACAGTACCTGACGAAAACAACAGGTGAAGATGGCGCTAGCAAAACTCACAGTCACTTTCGTGTGTGTCACTTGACCTGAGCTTTCTCCGGGAACCGCCAAACCGGACTTGCAGGGCGCGAGATCTCTTTAAAAGCTTCTTATTTGGGTCCGAAGTTCTTCCGACTTGGACGGAGCGCCATGTTGGCTCTTAGAAAGGTACGGCGCAAGTCTGGCGACCTTTGACCGAGGGGAGGGAATCGATTTAGAACATATCAATAATTTATAGGGGAGAAAAGTATTAGTAAAAGCTTTATATTGTACACTTTTTAACAGGAGATTGTTTAGGCATTTTTATCATGAAGGGAAAGAAATGTTAGATCGCAAAAAGGTCA